ACGCACGGACGCACACCTTCTTTTATATATTTATATAAGTTTCTCGATATAATCTGTGATACATATCTTTCAATTCAGAAAATTCCCGAATGTGACACGTGAAAAATAGAAAGACAGAAACGTGCTTTTTTTGAATCGGTATCTCATTCATTAACGGGTATAATCGCTTACACAGTTAAAATGTTCGATGTAATACTTGAATGATAATAATAATAATTAGAACAGCACGTACAATATTCAATATTGACATCAGAACTGAAACAAGCAAAGAGAAAGATCGATTCGTTAAATTGAGGAAGTCCATGCGACTATTGCGTTCAGTGGTCGATCTACAAAATCTCGTAGCAAGATCAGTTCAAACAAACAGAGAACGCTTTTCGATGAAACTTTTCTGAGAGAAAATCGTCGGGAAAGAGGCGAAGAAGTCGCGAGCAAATCGCACTACGGAGCAAAGAAGGAATAAGAAAGGGAGAACGAGCGGGTCCATGGAGGGACCAGAGGCAGAGCGGCAGCGGGACGATAAATATCTCTGTGAGGTCGCGTTTGCGAGCACACGACATTGTGGGCAATGGTCGTAAAGCGACGTGTTGCCGAGCCCTCTCGCGCGGCCCTCGGCCCTCTCTCCCTTCTTGGCCGAGCCCCAACTCTCCCGATGCCAGATTATACGCGCTGGACCGTGGCACCGACAACTTCATCCGCGGGGCGCCTCTGATTTATCCTTATTAATAAAACTTTAAAGTGCTGTTAACATGTGCCAGAGGGTGGCGGTGACGGCGAGCGCGCCACAGAAACCGAGCGAGAGAGACCGACCGGGAGGTTCGGACGACCAGCTGCGACCACGAAAGAGGAAGGATCGGCTCACGACCGAGCAAGTATTGCGCCTCCTCCGAAGCTCTGTACATGCCAAAATTTCACCCACAGTTTTCTTTCAATTCGATCTCCGTTTCCTCTCTTTGTCAATGTCGTACGTTCGATGTTCCATGAAACGGAACGATAATTGTGAAAGTTTTGACGAGCGAAGACGAAGAGAATTCTTCGTGAAATTCTTCATTCTGGGGTTGTTTCATCTCAGAAGATGAGTCTTCTTTGCGAGGCCCAATCGGGAGGTTACGGATGAATGATTACAAGAAATGTGACAAAGTGAAGGAAGATGAAAGAAGGATCAGCCAGAAGTAAGGAAGCCGAGGTTCGAAACGGTCGAAAGTTTCTCTGGCAAGGTGGAGCACGCACGGGCGCACAGCGGGGAGCTCAGGGCTGCGAGAATCATGGCTCGCGGGACAAGGGGGCGGAAGGAGCCGAGCAGCGCCTCGACGAGATATCAGGCA